CCAAGAAATGAACCCGCCCCAAAGATAGAAATCATTATTTATTTTTCCTTTGATTTTAAAAGTAGGACACATATCATATAATTAATTACTCGATACCACATATCTAAAAAAGAATGCATAAAAATATCTTTAACATTCTTCAGTCATTTATATGTGATTCATTATAGATAAAGTGAAAAAGGTGGGTAATAAGTCAGATTATTATAAATTCTTTGCCGGAACTAAACAGGTGCCGCTGCAGGCTTAACTAAAATTGTCTTGTGGAAAAATGCGCTCAAGATTTTACTCTTCTTTTGTCCCGCGGCGATTTAGAGAAAAGTGGTTCGCATCGTTCTCGGCATTCTTATTCAATTGCTCGGCATGCCGCTGGCCTATTTACTCTTCAGACAGTCAGTCGGTCGTACAATTTTGTACAGGGTGAGTCAACGTTTTAATAGGTCAGAAAATAGATCTTAAAAAATGTCTATACCTATGTGGAAATGAAAACACGCTGTAAGCGTGTTTTTTTGTATTAGGTTTGGCTGTTTTTTTTTCTTTTTATCTGTTTGACTGATCACTCTTCTGTTGTTTTTTTAGTTTTCCCATTCACACATTACCAACGCATTTTTATTATTAAAAATAGAAAACAGAAAAAGAAAATTCAGTGGAACTGGCAACATTGCTTTTCCTTTTGTCGCTGTCATGTTAAATCAAGTGTTAAAATTCTCCATAACGTCAAAAAATATGTGTCAAAAACTACTAAAATTAAAATAAAATATTTTAAAATTCTGTACAGGGTGGGTCAAATTCGACGCTTTTAAATAGAAACACCCTTTCCTATAGGAGATAGACAAAAACTAATATCGGTGTCTGGAGCTCAATTTTTGTCAAAAACATGATGGTGAAAACCGCACATCAATATCTGTTACCGTTTCGGAGTTACGGGGTGTTGTTCAAAAATATGCATTTTTAACAAATCGCTGTAACTTTTTTGCTAACTGTAATGCAAAAAAATTCTAGCTGTGAGCATCAATTAAAACGAAAATAATATTTGCTATGAGAGATGCAGAATTTTATAACAATTTAAAATATATGTACCCAACATCAACACATTTAAACTATATCTAATAACAATAAAAATAAATAGCAAACCAAGACATGAGATTTTGCTACAGGTGTTCGACAGATCTACATATCGACCGTCTTCTGTAATGGACAGACGGGGCAGTTTTTGAACATTTCTCGCTGAATTCATCTCAGTGGGGGTGAAAGATACCTTCTCATAACTGCTAAGTATTTCTAATTCTTGTCTAGATTATACGGAAGAATAAATAAGGAACCTTTATTCTTCCGCAAATATATCCATAGGATTAGATTCATGGGCACTAAATCAGGCGGCCTCGACGGCCAACGGCTGGGATCTTGGTTAGCTACTCAATTATACTTGAAATTGGCTGCAAAAATTTGCTGATAACTTCAGCGTTCAGAGGCGGTGCGTCGTCTTGCTGGAAAAATATGTTTTCTAGTTCCATTAAGGGCATATCATCAATAAGGGGTCCAAAGCCTACTAGTTAAAAGTGGTGAACTTTTAAAAATTCTGTATTTCGAAAGGGATTATAACAAAATATCAAGTGTGCTATATTTTTGGAAAGATAATTTTAAATCCTTTTCAGTTAATTAAAAATATAGAGAGTGTCCCAAATAAAGAATCAATTTTGCTGTTGATGACTCTTGAATTATTAATTTTAAAAAAATTATACTTAAACCATTAAATTCTACGTAAAAAGGTGCTTTGGAAATGTTTTCATAGAAATACAAAATCTTCCATAGCAAAAAAGTTACAGCGATTTGTTAAAAATGCACAGTTTTGAAAAACACCCCGTAACTCCGAAACGGTAACAGATATTGATGTGCGGTTTTCACCATCATGTTTTTGATGAAAATTGAGCTCCAGACACCGATATTAGTTTTCGTCTATCTCCTATAGAAAAGGGTGTTTCCATTTAAAAGCGTCGAATTTGACCTACCCTGTACATAATCTCCATTTATTTTTATTTAAAACTACTACTAAAAATGGTTTCTTTTTGATAAAAAAAAAGAAAAATGCAAAAATCGTGTGTCAGGATAGTTCACCGGACCCAATCATCTGAAACTATTTAGCTAATTATGTTTTTTAACTAAAAAAAATTTCAAAAAATTTTGAATATTCAAATTTTTTTTTTCGCGAAAAAACCTCATAGGGGTGTTCTAGGATTGAACTATACTATCAGTTAAAATACTATAGAGAAAATATTATATTACGTATTACGAAACACGGTCAACAATTTCTGTTAGCAAAATGCCATTGTCTCATATATTATTCCGGAACATGCAAAGACAATAACTAAAGTTATTGCCTTATGAAAGCGCATTGACACAATTCGTGAGAGCAATTAAAAACAAACCTTTCGGGCTTACTTTTACTTTCGTTTGTCAATTTAGTGGCTTTGTCGTTGCCAAATTTAGTAATATATACTTATTGATCGATACGTCAATCGACTCAAAAGCTGTAATTTTATTAAATTGCCTTGGGTTAAAAATACGAGAGTTCTTTCTTCGTTAACAGAAGTTTTTATAGTAAACTAGCGTGTACCCGCGACTTCGTTCGCGTCGAATTAAGGTAAACTCGCATTTGTTCGCACCGGACGCAACGGACGCATCGGACGAATCGCAATATACTTGTTATCATCGCATATTATATTCGGATTTTCTTCCCGCATTTTCATTTTAGTGCAATCCTCGAAGCGGGCTAATACGAAACTTTTGTTTTTCACATTTGCTTCCCAAATTTAAAATGAGTAGTATTTCTGATGAAGAATTATTATTTGCAATTGCATATGCCTTTTAAGAGGAAGAGCAAAGGAACAAGAAAAAAAAACGAATTTGGGTCCATGATGTAAATATGAACAGTATTTTTAAAAAGATGTTAAACTGATTTTTCTGCTGTTTAAATATACCTATATGTTAAAGATTTATTCTATTATATTCCGTCTACGTCCCTTGTTGTTTCATTATCTGCCCAATTTCCTCCCATATATTTTGGCGACCTTGCTGATTACTGTACTCTTTGTTTTTCAAATTATAAAGTTCATTTTATTGTTGCACTAAAGAAATTAATAGTCCGTCATCCATTTTCACTCTTTTAGGCACCTGCTCAAAATAACGTTAAAAACAAATCAAATTCTGCAAGTCGATTTCTTTTTACATCGCGCATTTCATCGAATTTACGAACGACGTCATCCGCAGGCATCGTATATACGGATTTAATTCTTTCCTAATAATTCTGAACGGATTTCCGTGTCTACGATGCGTCCGATACGTATGTATGTGCGTTGTCTCATTTAAAATAAGGCAAATAATAATTTTCGTCCGTTCCGTGTGTCCGATACGTCCGTCCGATGCGAATAAATGCGCGCTTACCTTTAATCAGTTGTAATGGTGATGATAAAGCAAAGCAAGAATTTCCATTAACATACAAACTGGATAAAATTTTCTCACATTTATGTCAGCATGAAAAAACAATATGGCGATATTATTATATAACTTCGTAATATTTGAGGGGTAGTTTCATCTCGTTGGAATTTGACTTTCGAAAAATCCGTTTGCCAAAAATAAGCTTTTTACGTCAAGCAGTTTAAGCAGAATCGTGGTTAATCAATTGCCCAATTTTTTGGAACACCCTGTATGATTTTTAAAAAAATTTCAAAATATGTAAAAAACCAAATAAATTATGCTTGTCCAAGCGTTTTCCCCAAAGACGTTTTTTAAATAACAAATATTGTAATATTTGAGGGGCGTTTTCACCCTCTTGGAATTTGAGATTCGAGAAACCCCTCCTTATCGAACCTCTACACCCCACAGTTAATCCGTTTACCAATTCAGTTTAAACGTCAAGCAGTTTAAGCAGAATCGTGATTACTCAATGGTCATATTTTATAAAACACCCTGTATAAAATTATAAAAATCTTAAAATATGTAAAACCACAAAATAAAAGATACGTGTTTAAGAGTTTTTCCGAAAAACGATTTTTAAATAAAAAATATTTTAATATTTGAGGGATAGTTTCACCCCCTTAGACTTCGAGTTTCGAAAAATCCCTTCTTATCGAACCTCTACACCCTAAAGTCAATCTGTTTTCCAAAAATCAGCTTTTTACGTCAAGCGCTTTAAGCAGGATCGTGATTAATCAATGACCAGATTTTTCGAAGCACCCTGTATACGTTTTTAAAAAATCTTAAAATATGTAAAAAACGAAATAAAATATACGTGTTTAAGCGTTTTTTCGGAAACTTGGCCGTTTTTTAAATAAAAAATATTGTAATATTTGAGGAGTAGTTTCACCCCATTGGAACTGGAATTTCGAAAAATCCTTTCTTATCGAACCTCTATACCCTAGAATCAACTTGTATGCCAAAATTGAGCTTCTTACGTTGAGTGGTTTGAGCAGGATCGTGATTAATCAGTGAGTCAGTCGCTTAAGGATTTTTTATATTAGTATAGATAAATAAAAAAGTTAATAAAAGTACCATATACATTTTTGCAGAAATTAAGTGTAAATCTTTGTAGCAACAATACTACTGAATAATCATCTAAAAACGGCACACAATTCATCACGTACAAAGCTTTTAATATACATCGAAGCTTTTGTTTCACGTGTTTAGTAAACATAATTCTCAGTGAAATAAGTAATAATTAATATTTTTTCCGCTATGATTACATTTAGATTAAATTCGGTTGTCGACATGCTCAATATCTAATCAAACACAAATTGATAGAAAAATACATAATATAAATTAAACGGTTGCTGATGTACGATTATATCAAACAAATTTGACAATAGAAAGTAGCAATATTAGACATCTGTTATATCAACGCAGTAATAGAAATATTGAAACACATGATAATAGGTTTCAAAACATCAGTTTCATATAATAAGAATTTGATGTAAATAAGACATTAGCGTAACTACAGGGGTGCCCGGGGGTGCCCCCCCCCCCGCCCCAGAGGTACTACTTGAAAATAATTTCGCGCAATTTCTATTAATCAATACTTACTATGTAACTTTTCGTTCCCAACTTTAAATATTCCTTTCGAATAGAACCAGTGCTTAGCAGAGTGCAGATACAACAGTCGGGTGCTTTTATTAAACACGATAAAAAATAGAAACATTACAAACCCTTGCAACGAAGCGGTAATACAAAAGACGTAAGTGAAGAGGGCGTCATTTTTTATCTGACCCAAAAATCCAAAGAGCCACGTCAAACCCAGCATGAAAAATAACAGTAGTGCCAGTCTCCATTGAAACAGAATTTCGTGATTTACTGTATCGATATATTCGGTTTTTTTATGAAACACGTTGTAGAGAATGAAAACGAATATAACACTGTTGATGCACACGATTATGGCAACCGGTAACCAGACACCTAAGTACATTCCTAAGTCGGATGGATAACATAATCCAGTTTTTCCAACTGCGTAGCTATCTGAATCTATTAGGACGACGCATACTACCGGTATTATGGGAAATACCCAACCGCAAACTAAAGCTTTAAGCAGTACGTATTTTGGGGGGCCTCCAAGCACTTCGACAAACCTTTTGAACTGCAAAATAGCGATGGTGAGCATCCAGGCGCATTCGGATAAAATAGAATAATGCAAAAGTGCACCTGATATAATGCAAACGGTTCCGCCCGATGTACTTCGTACAAACTCGCTAACATATAACATAATGATCTTTAAGGATATAGCAATTGAAAAGTTGATAAGGATAATATTCCCGGTATTCTGACGCCACCGCCTAAAAATAGCTGCGGTAAATAAAATCATTATTATTCCAATAAGCGACGAAATACACCCAATATCGGTGATAATATCCAACACTGTATCATCAGAATATTCATCGGTGTTAGCCAATAACAACCCAAAGTGCGTGACGTGCGTATAACTACATATTGTCATATTTTGAAGGTGTTGCTTTTCGGCATCGTCTTGCCATTGCCCAGCTAACTTAGAGCTAACATTGTAATGCCAATATGCACACGAATTATTACTAGTTTTATTTATTCCGGTATTATAAATCAAAGAAACCGGACCTTCTAAGGCCTCGTCAAGGCCAGGAAAAATAATTCCAAATATCTTGGAAGTCGTTCGTTCATCATCATTATTCTCATTAAACAAATCGTCATTGTGGTATAGAGATACTATAATCCTCGAGTCTGCACTGTTATTGATTTGATAGACCAAATCATCGCTGAAGAGTACCATGGCCGATATCGAATCGTTGGCAGCGTAATCACTTATATTAACAGATACGTCTAAAAAATCGATATCACATACGTCATTCAAACAATTCGAAATAAATATCCCCTTAACTTCTCGGTCCTGCATATTTTTAACAACCAGAGAGAAGTTTTTGTTATTTATGAAGGCAGTGTCTAAATGTTTAGCCATTTCATCGATGCTATGTAGTATGATATCTGTCGCTGAATAACTTATTTGAGACTGACGAAGTATATCTCTAGAAACATTAAATAAGTTGCTGATAATTCTCGACGCGATGGTCGTGAACGTACCTTCTGATAAAGAGTCAAACATAATCTGCGAAATTAGCGATACATCGACTGGAACTAGATTTTGAACGCTCGAATCAGTGATCTGCTGTACTGCATTGATTTTTTCTAAACTGGTCAAATTAGAATTTAGGATATTTTCCAAATCAGTTGTGATGTTGTTGGTTGTTACTACCAAAGCAAAATGGGTAGCATGCTGAAACCTACAAGAACTAATATGCTCGTTAAATTCAAACTCCTTTTTCCATTGACCGGGAATTAAAACGTTGTCATCAACGAGATAGTTCCAATAAGAACAATCAATCCTTTCTTTGTATTGTAATTTAGAGAAATAATTTATTATAATACTACCTTTTAAAGGGAATTTTAAATGTTGAAATAAAACATCAACTATAACATTCTCTACAACAGTATGTCCTGGGGCAAAAAAAAACGAATCATCGTAAAACACAGCGAAGGCTAAACTTGTTGGAAATTCTCTGATGTGTTGTAACAATTCAGAACTAAACATTAAGCTAACTATATTATCTGACTTCTTATATTTATTCTGGTTCTTATACAAGACTTGTATTTTGTGCTCCTTTGTTATATAAAATCCCTCAAAATAAACGGAATGCTCTTTAGAAACTACCAATAAAGTTAAAGTTTCTTCTGAAATTTCTACGTTTTCATTTATATTAATTAAAATTTGATCTAACGAGTTCAGTATTTTGTCTGCAGATCTATACAATAATTGGGCTTGTTTTATTACGTCTTTGTGCGATTTCATTATATAATCTAATATTTCTGATAAAATCTCGAGTGCTGGTGCATCAATAATAAAAATATGGTCGTGTAGAGTTGTTGCTAAAAGTTCAATATCTTTCACTGTCCAGTTTTTATTCCAACAAAAATAGTTAAATATATTGGGTAGTTCACAAGCTGATACACTGTGGCAAGTATTCAAAAAACATACAGAGTTATCTGTAGGATAATTAATTTCATGCATCTTAAAATTATTAAAGCAGTACCCATCGGTATATTCAATATTCTGTTTAATGCCAGTAAGCAGATTTGAGAAGGCAAGTGTATTACTTATTGGATTAATATCAATTATTGTATTAACCACAGCTTTCTCATAGATTTTATGAGTACTGTAGTTAACTGGCGGAAGTTTTGTATAACTGTTACTGGTAGTAATTGGTACAGCAAAATGCGTTAAGTGATAAAAATTGCACAATATAGCAGTATTTTCATTATCGGAGTCCTCAACTTGCCAGGAACTTTCAACCGTCTTGTTAAATTTCCAGTAGGAGCAATTATAGTCAAATGAAATTTGCCTGGTATTAGTATAGTAATATATCGTCAAAGGACCTTGAAATTCCTCTGGAAAATCAGGTAGTAACACCCCAAAAACCAAGTCAGAATGTTTTGGTGCTCCCTGCTCTACAAATAACTGAGTTCCGTAATAAATTGTGATCGCAATTTTCGGAATATAACTGTCGTTACTTTTGGCATATGCCAAAATTTGTTGCTGAAGACTTTCGGAAATGTATACCGCGGCGTATAGGTCATCGGGAAAGGAGCTTTGGGTAATAGGAGTACCGCATATGTTGTATATCTCGCACTGGCTTAAATCGGTAGAACAGTTCTTCACAAATATTCCGTAAAAATCGTTGGCTTCTATATTTATGATTATAACTCTCAAGTTGTCATTTTTCCATTCTTTCATACCGCTGATATCTATCGTCGAACTTATTAAGATGTCATCGAGGGCTAATAGGATGGTATCGGTAGCCTTAAAGTTCTGTTGAGCACTGTACAAGACTGGCTGGGAAATTTTCATTATATTACTTATTATACCTGAAAAGAAAAATAGTTTAAATTTAGCCGGTTTTAAGAAAATTTGTTGTTCTAACATTTGACGTAGTGAAAGAAGTATCAAGAAGGTTTATGAAAATATCCTAAACACTAAATAAATATAATATCGTTGATTGAAAGAATTGGGATATAATGTTATTCAACTATTTACAGTGTAACAGATAAATAATTATCTCTCCAAAATATCCTATATGGTATTTCGCCACTGCAAGAAAATCTACAAAATAAAATAGTTATTTTTTGTAAACACTTCTGCGTTAATGCCAAACGGAAACTACTTGTCCGAAGTTAGGTTTACAGATATACAAAATTGCCTAACGAACAAAAAAATGCTTAACGTTTCGCAAAGTTTACCTCTTTCCGTCGTCGGAAGCAAAAAAATACAAAGAATAAAGAAAAAAAACTATTTAAAATATTTAAATTCAACTATTCGAGAACACTTTAGTTTTTTAAAACGGATACGTCTACAAAAAAACCGTTGACGTTCTATTAAAATGACTTTATATCAATACCCAAGTTAAAATTCAAAATTAACAATTACTACCAGATAACAATTACTTAATAAGTTAAAACCAAAAAGCCCCAAACTTTCTGTATGATTATTTTTAATTTTTACGTATGTTATGTTCTATAAAATCAAAAAAGCGATTGCCATACATTACTAACATCTACAGATGCATGAACAATACATTTATTTTTATTAGATTGTTTAAAAAAAGCCTCTTTTATTTTTCTTTTAGGGGCTATCGCTTCTTTCATTATAATTTTGACGTTATTAAAATTTATTCTGTGCCCTGTGTTCCATGAATGCTGACAAATCTTGGATTTGTGAAAATCTCCCTTTCTTAAATAATCTTTATGTTCTTTAATTCGAACATTTAAGGGTATAGATGCTTCACTTCACTATATTTCTGATATAGTTGCCCTTTATTTTTGTGAAGATTTTTCAAGAAGATTTTTTAAATAATATATTGGCTGTTTACTCACCAGTTACTTTCTCCAAATCCGGTTTCTGACTTGCTATCGCTTTTGTATAGTTAGCTAACATCAGCACATCGATAGTATAGAACTTGGCGTATTGTTCAGTTAACTTTAGTACGTCACTAAGGTTATTTACTAATGACGTCTTCTCTTCAGAAGTAGTTAACTCGATAAGAGTATTTGACACATCCGATTCCGAATAAAATTTGCATTTTCCAATCTCCGTCCACCGGTATCCATCAATAAAATTCCCAACGCAATATCGTTGAAGAATAACACCATCGTCAGTCACACAGAATCCACCCGCCGGGTTTTTGGATTGGTCTGTAACCGTGATATTCCAATAAATATCTTGTCCATACTGGTTTGTCACATCGGTATAACAGTAACTAACGCTTCGAAATTCGACGAATTCGAAGGTGGTTTGGGATTGTGATATATTTTTTAATGTTTTATATTCGTCTTGATCATTGCGAGAATCCGCAGAGGACAGATGAAACGTTAAAGTCATATCGTTACCATCCAGGGCATTAATTTTAAATATTCTCGGATAGAATGATGAATTGTAAGGCATTTCGTTTTGGAAATGGTTTTGAAGCATTTCAATATTCTCGCGAGTCAGTGGATAAAACGATAACTTTTCAACGTAATTTTTTAATTTTAGAATGACCACGTACTCTCCCCTGTATTCCTTCTGGACGAACAATTTATTTGACGAAACCTTTGTTAAACCTGGATACAGAAACCCTTCGCACCAGTAATATCCGGGTCCAATCAGAGAAATATCCAGTTCGTAGAATCCGTAAAACATAGTCTCCTCCAAGCTTTCGGAAACAAACATGTCTGTTATTTTGTAAACGATGCTTTTGGCGTAAACATCGGTAAAACAGTAAATTAAAGGTTTCAATTCTTTATCAAATTTAAAATACTTTGGTTTGGTAATGTTCAATTTAAAAATATTGTCTTCGAACGCTAAAGTCAGCGTTCCATTTTCGGAAACTGGATCTTTCTGGTAAATAATGCAATAGGGATCTACATCTTCAGATTCGGTTAGAGACCAACCTCCGGTTGATATTATACCGTAAGAATGATCGAAATTAATATCACGTTTACTGGTCCATCTGGTATAATTAATAGGAATATTTGACCTGGCCCAAACCGGAAAAGAATCATCGGAGTTTTCCAATCCGAAACGACAATCGTTTGAAACGTCTTCGTACAGTAAACTTTGAAAAGGCTGCAAAAGTTCAATTAACTCTATCGGGTCTATTTTTTCAGAGCTGTCAGTCCCTGCAAATATTAAAGCAATATTACAGCACAATACAAAACAATTAAGTGCCATAATTTCTCGTGGGGAGATTACTCACGTAAAAATAAAATTAATTTTTATTTATTATCATAGGTTCGATTCTGCTTTGTTTCCTAGCTACAGCTAAGTAAAGTATTTGAAGTTACCGCCTCCTTTTTGCCGCTAGAGGCTAATCTGAACGAGGCCTACTTTGTTTACGCGGAATCCAAACCGCGGTCTTCGGCCATATCATGGTCAATGACAATGACCTACTAAAACATCCCCCTTTAGAACATTTTCTACAATGACAATGACTGGAAGTAAAATATATCCGTGCGAACAAACACTAGAGGCGCTGCTAGTCATTAAAAAATTAACAAATATTCATTTGTTTTTTAAATCTATACTAAGATATAAAATCTTTAAATTACTGACATACTGATTAATCACGATCCTGCTCAAACCACTCAACGTAAGAAGCTCAATTTTGGCACACAGATTGGTATAATGGTATTATAAAAAAAACTAACGGTAGTTGAAACTAATGGTGGGTTCGTGGAGCACGCTATTTGCGCTATTTGGTACTACTTTTCATGCACGAAATTGCTCCGCGAACAAAAAGTAGTATCAAACAGCGCAAATAGTACACTCTAGCATGACCTCCCCGTACACCCTGTGTCCAAACATTTCCAACCAATCTTCCATAATAAAAAAATAAAATAAATACCATAAAAAATAAAAGTAACAAAGGGGTAACCAAAATAGAACATAATAAACTAACAAGAATTAACAGCTTTTATTTGGTAATGGCTCCTGTTCCGTCAAACGGGCGAGTTGACGTAGTTCGTTTACGGTCCGTTAAGATTTTTTTTACTAAAATTAGCATCGTTGTTGTTGTTCATTTTTCCGTATTACATTTTGTATACGACGTTTTCTATGAAATAAAATATAGAAATATTATTACCTTTTTGTTAGAATGTAAAATTTTTTAAGACAAGAAATTTCAAGAGTCTTGCAAGACAAGACAAGACTTTGCCATTCAAGAAATCTGCAAGACAAGACTTTGAAAATTTCTTGTCGTGAATTTCAAGACAAGACAAGAAATTGATTTTCAAGACAAGAATTCTTGTCTTGTACAACACTATACACCACTGTAATAAGACGAAAAAAAAACATCAGCGACGCAGAGTTTTTTTTTAGAAAAATATTCCTGTGAATATGTCCACTCTTTTTTAGCATTAAACTTATAGTAAATATTACCCTCAAAAATCGAAAAAGAAAAATTTTAACTGCCAATTTTTAAAAAATACATTCTATTTTTACTTGGGAAGAAGTCTCCCCACGAGAAATTACACATGTTTTTTAAATCACCTTCTATATTACAATAATTATTTCTTTTAAATTGAAGAAAAATTTTCGTACCTGTACAAAAACATTTAGAGCTGGTGTCATAGTCGCTTTGGAGGCAATTGGTTTGAGTTTGCGAACAAAATGTCGTATTTCTCTGATGTAAAATCTCGTAGAGGCATACCGCCGAATGCGTAGAATTGCATGGCACAGCTTCCACGTGGGTACTATTGTAATAAATTAAACAATTGTTGTCAAGCAAATTACCAGAAAAGAAAAGCGTACGGCATATATCTGTGCATATAGAAAACGGAACCTTGTAGTGGTCAGTTAGTTCGGTAAAACGAATTAAATCTGAAAATAATTATATTCTGTTTTAGAAAATATACAAGGTGGTTCGAACGGCATTCCGGAAACTTCGGCAGCATATTCTCCAGATAAAAATAAGTAAAAAAGTTCGTATAAATGTACGTCCTAAAATGCTTAGTTTCGGAGATACAGGGTGTAGAAATTTCACTTTTATTTCGTTTTTCAAAATATCTCGAGAACCATTACTCGTAGCCAGTTTTACCCTTTTGATACACCTTTTTTACGTAAAAAACATCGTGAACGTATTTTTTTTACTCAGTAGTTTTATACAAGTACGGACGAAAAGTTAGTAATATGTAGGTATACAGGGTGCTACAAATTCGCGGTACGAGCATTGGTATCTCGGTAAGCGTAATAGATTCGAACATGATTAAATTGGGGCAAACTTTCGCTTTAGAATGTTCACCAAGATGCCATCAAAAAAGTTTTGGAAATTTCAAGAATTGCTGAGTTTTTTGGAAAAAACGGATTTTTTGGAAAATCAATTTTATTTTTTCCTGTCGTTATTTTTTAGAAAATCAAAAAACTAATTACACATTCTCATAGCCACTTTATTAGGGCTATTTGATGGTATTTTTGGATTTTCAAATCAGCTTATAATTTGTGAGATGCAGAGGCCAAATTATTTTTTTTAAATACGGACCTGCATTTTTTATTTCAGATTTTAAAAGACCTCGGTCTCCTGAGTACAATGATATGCCACACTTGATACTTTTTTTTTGTTTTTGATAAAACAATAAAAAAAAGATATTTAATTGTTATTTAAAATAATTTCAAATCCGACTCTGTTTTTTTGATTTATTTAATCTGATTATATTCAGCACAACAATATATCCATAGATCCTAAACAACTTGACAATATTTTTATGAATTTGTAAATCAATCCATATTTACAGTAGCGGATTTTGTTCATAAAAGGACAAATTTGCTGACAACTAAATGTTGGGACAAGTATTTTTAAATAATTAATATCATCATAGGCGGCTTTGCTATAAACGTCACAAATGTCGCAAACTGTTTACTTCAGCATTGACAGCTTGTAAGTGACTCGATACTTTGAGTAGTGAGATTTACTGTAAGAAATTTTATTTTTTTTAATTTTCAATTTTGTTACTTTAATCCAAAGTAATGGTCCGTGGAAAAGCTACAAATCAAAAACTACGCGAAATTATCATTCGTCAATACAGTACGGGAAAAACAATTCGAACAATTTCTGATGATTTAAGTATCCCAAAAACCACGGTCTATCTACCACGTTAGAGGTAAAAGTTCGGGAAGGCCAAAAGTTTGTATCCCAGAGAGATTTACGAAATTTAGTAAAAATTTGCAAGTCTGCGAGAAGAAGTACTCTTCGCGAAGTAACAGATAAATGGAATACTGTAACTGGTTTAAATATATCAAGAGAATGTTGCCGAAAATATATCCACAAATGCGGTCTGGGGTTTTAGAAGGTAAACTTTATTTTGTGTGGATACTCAATTACCTGAAGATTATTGATACAAATTCTTATTTAGGCCAAAGGAAAACCGCTACTGACAGAAATTCAAAAGAAAAATCGCTACAATTGGGCAAAATCTAAATTATCGTGGACACAAAATGATTGGAATAAGGTCATATTTAGCGATGAGTCTAAATTTGATGTTTGCGTTGAAGATCATCGAAAACGAATAATACGAAATAAAGCTTTCATAAAGATTGCTTAAAGAGGGTTGTTAAATTTCCTAAGGGGATTCTGGTTTGGGGTTGCATGTCAGCAAGAGGTTTAGGCAAATTAAATTTTATAGATGGCACTGTTAACGCCCAAAAAGATCAACATATTCTTGAGACCTCACTTTTGCCTAGTGCTCAAGAACTGTTTCCAAACGAAGACTATATTTTCCAACAAGATGGAGCATCGTGCCATTCGGCAAGATCAACTAAAAATTGGTTCGGTAATAATAATATAAAAGTTCTATCCCATTCTTCAAGTAGTCCGGACCTCAATGTTATAGAAACTGTGTGGCATAAAATGAAGCAATATTTAAGAAACCACCCTCAACGAACAATTTTTGATTTGCGGACAAAACTGCAGGAAATTTGGGATAATTTTTCTCCTCAAATGTGCCAATCTTTGGTAAATACAATGTCATTAAGAGTTCAGGCAGTTGTTAAGGCGAAAGGTGATGTAACTCCGTATTAAACAAATTTCTTGTTGTGCTGTCCCAATATATAATTGTCATCAAATTTGGCTGGAACTTGTCAAAATAAGCTATTATCAAAAGTGATTTATTTGCAAAGCTATAAAAATATAGTAAAATTGTCTAGATCATATTGTAATGTTTGAATTTAGAATAATAAACAAAATAAATTGAGTCGTTTTAACAAATTACTATTTTTATTGCAAAAAAAGACCTTGTTCCAACATATAGTTGTTAGGGCTTGTATATTTATACGAACTTTTTTACTTATTTTTACGTGCAGAATATGCTGTTGAAGTTTCCAGAATATAGATCGGACCAGCCTGTATTGAAACATGTGGACAAAATAATTATTATTGTATTTAGTATTTTTTCCGTAATGTGGTAATTATGTTCGTTGGACGTAGGTCTGTGATGCCGTTAAATACTTTTACTTTTACACTGGACGCGCGTTTCGCTAACCATATTAGCATCATCAGCAGATGATTATAAACTCAAATATGAGAAATAAATAAATTAAAAAAAAATAAATTTCCAAATATGAGTTTATAATCATCTGCTGATGATGCTAACATGGTTAGCGAAACGCGCGTCCAGTGTAAAAGTAAAAGTGTTTTGGTGTATTGTGGTGATTTAGTGTTTTTTTTTGCTCTTATCTTGAGAATAAAATGAACTCCAACAAAGTATATTACATATTTGATGGAAATGAGTGGATACTTCAGCTGAGTAAAAAAA